ATTCATTTGCTTTTTGCACGTAATTTTAGAAATATTAGTATTATATTAAGATATAGTAAGAATAAAATAAAAATGACTAAAATAACCTTATTAGTATGTGTGATATAAAGATAATGACATTTGTGTAATATATTGTAAGTTGTAAGGGTATTTGTAATGTTAGGTAGATAGTACAAAGGAAATGTATACTTTGTTATGGGACGGACTAAAATAGAAAAATGAATACTTTTTTATAGGACGGAGGGAGTATTTATTTATTTTTTTTCTGTCCATCATCGGAAAAACTCATATAATTTTTTATAGACATTAAAAAAAAATTTATTTACGAAAAATATAATTTATCTTTTCTCTACATCATTAAATTATTTATTTTTAAAATAAGTTAAATAATAATAATTTTATATATCTTTTAATTTAAATTACATAATTAGTAATTATACTTTTTTATATTATTTGTATAATTTATTGAGTAGATTATAAGTTAATTATGAAATTACTTTTTCCGTAACGTCCAACAATTATTGTCCTTTATATATATACACACACAAAGTTTATTATTTTTGGCATTTATTTATTTACTCTTTCATTTTATATATACAAGATAAATGGCAAATTTATCAACTCATAATTAACAAAAAATTAATTGCCTACTAAGGACAAGAAATAGACTGAGAGGGTAATTTATTATTATAAATTAATTATATTTAATTCAAATTTATTGAACAAATATTATAGCAATATTGGTATGACAGGATAAAAAATAAAGTATTTATAAAATATAAAAAAATATTAATCTTTCGACCCAATTTTTTCGTCCATTATTTTTATTTATGTCTGTCCCACTTTATTTGTTATTTATTTTTAGAAAATATAATTATACATTTAATTATATTTTAAATTTCATAAGTTATTATTATTTTTAATCATAATTATACTATTTAGTTATTTTAATTTTAATATGTAATTAATTTTATTATATAATAATTACTTTTATTAATATATTTTTTATTTACTTACTAATTTTATTTACCTAAACTCTCTTATTTACAATAAATCGAACACAAAAGATGAGACGAATAAAATAATACTTCCTCCGTCCCAGAACTATAGTTTGTGTTGTGTTTAGTGTAAAAAATAGTGGTAATTATGTAATAATAATGAAAAAGTAAGGATGATTTTACAGTGATATGATTATTTATGGAAACGAGACTATTGTTTTGAGACGTACAAAAATAGTAAATAGAACTATTGTATGAGAAGGAGGGAGTATATATTTATTTGAAAAAAAAAAAAAAACTAATCTCTCTCTCCTATTTGTTTCAGGGATGTCAAATGGGGCGGGTTCGGGTCTAAATAATATGTTTCGGGGCGGGTTGTGGATTTAAAATTTTAAACCCAGCCGGGTTCGGGGCGGGTTATGGGTTTTCTTAAAAATCCGCCCCAATCCGAACCCGGACTCGAACTCGGATATTTTTTAAAATTATTATAACTAATATGTATGTACAATTTATATAATAAAAATATATTATTTATTTACTTAAATAATTTTAAATATAAAATTCAATTAGTCGTCTGCTTTAAATAATTTTTTAAAATTATTATACCTAATATATGTATATTTATATAATAAAAATATATTATTTATTTATTTATCTTATTTTTATGGATCAATATTTGATTGTTTTTAAATTTTTTTTTGTGTTTTTAATGCTATTTGTTTTAATATTCGATTGTTAAAAAAATATTTATTATTATATATTTAAAAAAAAAACAACTTTATCGGGTTGGCCCCGGCCGGATGGAAATGGGGTGAGGCGGGTCTCGGAGCCTAATATTTTTTAACGGGACGGATCACGGGGCCTGCAGAACCTGTCCTGAACCCGCCCGTTGACATCCGTATTGTGTTTCATTCAGAGAGAGAGAAGCTAGCAACGGATTCCTCCCGTTGCTGTCCAGAAAAGCGCGTCTCCACGGTGGCACAATCATGTTTTTTATTTTTATTTTTATTTTTATTTTTATTTTTAATTGTGACGTGGGTGTTTGTGGGTGGTCATATGATTGATTACATGTGCTTTCAATAAATTATCTATATGAAAAATAAACATGCATGGCATGTTCTCGTTTATTTCTTTCCCATCCTTTTACTTTAAAATTTTGGAATATTTTGATTTATTTAAAAAATAAAGAAAAGAAATATGGCATATGTTGTGTTTTCAAATGACAACTAAATACTTTGATTTGATATTTAATTTGAAGATTTTTTTTTGAAATAGCAAAAAACATTAAAAAAAACAAAAAAAAAAAAAAAAAAAAAAACTCACAACCAAACAGTCTTAATTTTCGCTAGCAAATTTAAAATGAGAATAAATAAAACGTGTACAAATTACAAAATAATGAATAAATATGAAAATTTTATATTTTTAATAATAGAAACTTACAATTTAGGGATTACAGGAAAAAACAAAAAAAAAAAAAAAAAAAACAAAAAATTTAAACTAATAATGTATTCCCAGCTCACATATATATATAATTCTTTGAAAATATTCTTATAATTACGTTATCCATACCTAATATAAGATTAATTTTTTCAAGAGTTTTATAATGATAGATGAAGTTTTAAAAAAAAAAATAAATTAAATTAAATTAAAACATGCTTGGTATGTTTATCTGTAGTTTGATATTAATTTGAAATAATAAGTTGATTTGAATATTTGTTCCACTATTAGATAAAAAATGTTGATAATTGCAAAAATTTATTAGCATATTTTAATTTGAGATAATTAAAAGTCCCGGGGAGCAGTTTTGTGACAAATAACTTTTCATAACTATTTAAAGTAGCTGTTTATGTAACGAAAATATCCAAAATATTTTTATCATGTGTCTTTGGACTATTTGTCACAAATATTCTTATAAAAAATTTTCGTGACAAATTTAAGTTGCGACACAAATAACAAAAGATATTTGCAATATTTTAAATTATTATAGATATTTTCATAATATGATTTTTATGATTAATTTTTTAACGTCACAACATTAGTAACAAAATATCCACAACTTTTTTTTTATTATTATTTTATGTTCATAACTATTTAAAATGACAACAAAATTATCTTAAATATCTTTATTTTTTACATGTATTGAAATTGAATGCTTTTTGTAATGATTTATTATTTAAAATTATAACATAAATATTGAAATATTCGTAAAATCTTAATTTAACATTTATTTTCATAGAAAAAAATTACAATTGTTTACCGGTACATTATAAACAATTTATTTAATTGTTATTCTATTTAATTAATATATATTAATTTAATTTATTATAGATATTAATATAACTGAATATTTAACTAATTATGTTACCATATCAATAATAATAAATGTATTGTTAACTTTGAAATTTTATGTGAGTTTTTAAATAAAATGATTGAGTTTAAAAAATAAAATTAAAATATTTAATGGACAATTGACGGAATTCAAGAAGTCATGTGCAATATTAAAAAAATATAATGTTAAAAATATAAAAAAAATATTTTATATGAAATAGACTATATAAAATTTTTATTAAAGATTTGTGATGAGATATTAAATAAATATGTATACAATGTTAATAAATAAATTTATAATCAATAATATTTAAAATATAAAAATAAAAATATAAAAATATTTTAAAATAGATAGTTAAGTTGACATTAAATGTTTTTAATAACTATAAAATTCAACTTGCAGAGTAATTCAAAATATAATGGTGTATGATTGTATTGAACAATAATTATAATATAATAATTATTTTTTTAAAAAATATAAAGTCATATAGTTGTTGCAAAGTTTGTTGATATAAAGTTACAAAAATGTTATAATATTGTTCTATAATTTATTGTCACAAAAATGTTATCAATTTAGAAAAAATTACATCGAAATCCCACGAAAATGATTATATATATTTTTCTGTGACTTTTGAGTAAGAAACCACCAATTTGTATTAAAATTATAATTTTTTTTTTTTTTTTACCGCAATTTTAGCTCAATTGTCCGGTAGTGTTTAGTGTTTTTATGTAATATTTATGAAAAAACAATACTCATTCCGTCTCATATCTATCTATCCATTTATTGTTTGCACTGAGTTTTAAAAATATTAATATTATATTGAAATGGAATAGAAATAAAAGTAAAAAGACTAAACTAACTTTATTAGTATTGTATGATATAAATGTAATGATATTTGTATAATATATTGTAAATTAGGAGGGGATTTCTAATGTTAAGTAGATAGTACAATTATTAAAAAAATAAAATAGATATTTTGTTATAAGACTGACCAAAATAAAAAAAAAATGAATAGATTATTAAAGGGATGGAGGGAGTAGTATATATATTTTTTTTTTATTGAAAATAATAAAAAGTAAATAATATTGATTTTAGTTTAGAAAAGAAAATGTATTAATTTTTAATATTGAATTAATTTAACAAATAAAAGAAATACTCGTACATGGATCAACGGTTAATCAGGTCAAGTCAGTATGATGTTGATTTAACCGGATCCGAGCATATTTATAATATAATATATATTATTTTATAATATAATATATACTGAGATATATATAAATATATATTGATCGCTCTTATAACATATGTTGATTTGGTGATATCAACACTATGATAATTTGGCCGGATCAGCCTATGATATTGATGAATTGGTCCGAACGTGAACAATGTGATGCTTCCTAATAAGTACGGTTAGTGAACAATGCAAAAAAATGATTTCAAATATATAACCGTAACTATAAAAAATTAACTAATTAATTTTAGCTCTAAAATATATGTACATATAAACAAAAATAAAATAAAACCCAACTAAAAAAAAAAGGTAGAAGTTTGTAATAAAGTAAATTTTACATAAGTCGTTGACTCCCTTGCAAGAATAAATCTAGTAAGATTTAAAGGCACCCCAAAACTTTTAAATACAACCAAAAAAATTGGACCAAAACCTTAATTTTACAAAAATTGGATCAATATGATGACCAAAAAACTTTCAATACAAAGCCTCAAAATTTCGATTTTCTTGGTGTTCGTATGGTGGGCGGCGCCGGTAGCCGCCACTCCGCCGGAGGAACCCATCCGGTGCGGCGGCGGCGGCGCAAATTGCACCATCACGAATTCGATCGGCGTATTCCCCGATCGGAGCATCTGCCGCGCCGCCAGCGCCGTGTACCCTTCGTCGGAGGCGGAGCTTGTAGCGGCGGTGGCGACGGCCGTCGCCGCCGGCCGGAAAATGAAAGTGGCGACACGGTACTCCCACAGCATCCCAAAACTGGTCTGTCCCGACGGCGACGACGGAGTGCTGATCAGCACCAAGAACCTTAACGCCGTCGTCGGCGTCGACGCGGCGGCGATGACGATGACGGTGGAGAGTGGGGTTACTCTGAAGCAGCTGATCGGCGCGGCGGCGGACGCCGGCATGGCGGTGCCGTACGCGCCGTACTGGTGGGGCCTGACGGTGGGGGGCCTGCTCGGCACCGGCGCCCACGGCAGCTCCCTGTGGGGGGCCGGGAGTCAGGTGCACGATTACGTCGCCGGACTGAGGATCGTGACGGCGGCCGGCGCCGGCGACGGTTATGCAAAAATTAGGGTTTTGGAAAATGGGAATCCCGAGCTCGATGCAGCTAAGGTTTCTTTGGGAGTTTTGGGTGTTATTTCACAGGTACGTATTACCCTAATTATAGCTTATACTCGTTTATTGTTGTCGTCTAAATTTTTCTATTGTATACAAATTTATTTACATACACAATTTTATTCCTAATATTTGATTAAATTGTACAAAATTCACCGGTAATTTTACAAAATTGCACGAAATCCTACATATTTTAAAAATTGCGCGATACTCTCTCGTGGTTCCATAAACTTTGCATCTAACTCTCTCGGCCGTCCTCATTTAACGGTGTTTGACTTACCCACGCTCAAACAACGAATGACTTTCAGAATATTAATTTCCAAACTCCTAAAATTATATATATATTTATTTTTCTTAGATTTAACCTAAAAAATATTAAAAAAAAAACTTTTAAAAGTAGAGAAAAATAACTATTTTTTAATATATTTTAATAATAAGAACGACTATTTTTGTAATTTTAAGGGTTTACAAATGAAAATTTTGAAATTCATTTGCAGTTTGAGCGCGTGTAGGTCAGACACCGTTAAATAAGGACGACTGAGAGAGTTAGACGCAGAATTTATGAAACTACGAGAAAATTTGACGAAATTTTTAAAATATAGAAGATTTTGCACAATTTTGTGAAAGAACGAGTGAATTTTATACAACTTAGCCTTCATATTTTAATAAATAAGATTCAATTTATCGTTATTTTTTAGTTATTACATTATTTTTTTAAAAAAACTTTTAACAATTTTTATAACGACACCACTTTACTTTATCGGCTTCTCTACTCTATTTTAACATTAAAATATTATTTGTGGAAACAAAGTAACATATTTAATTGAAACGGAAGAAGTATATATATATATATATATATATTAATATAAGTATATGTTTTATTAAGAAAAATCAAATAAAAATACAAATAAATGCATCCGCTTGTATGTCTGATTATTAATGTTAGGTTTCTTCACCCAACCGTTTTCGTTACATGATTCATGCTTAATATTATAAAAAAATATATAATAAATACAATATATATTTTAACTATTTAAAAAACTTGATAGTAATATATTATTTTTGTATTATCAATATAATTTTTATTAACTAATATATAAAATACATACATCCATAAAAACACAAGGTGAATGGTAATTCTTTTAATTACTAAGAGTACTATTTTTTGGATTTTTTTTTTCATCATGAGATAATGGCAATTTAGAAAAAAAATGTGAAAAAATAAATTATACTCCCTCCGTCCTACATACCATGTCCACGTTGCCGTTTCTGTCCGTCCCACATACCATGTCACTTTTCTTTTTTAAAAAATAATTACACAATTTAATCTCATTTTAAACTTTTTAATTTTATTTTTTTATAAAATTTTAATTAAACTAATTAATAATCTTAATCTTAATTTATAATTATTTATATTATCGGATAATTATTTTCACTAATATATTCTAATTATCTACTAATTACATCCCTCCTAAAATACCGTGTCTACAGTGTAGCAGACACGGTATGTGGGACGGAGGGAGTACTATTTTAGTTAGATTTTACTATTTTAATTATTTTAATTTATTATATTATACTATTCTCTGCGTCTCACTTAAATTGTCCATTTTCTTTATATATATCATTCCCACATAAATTGTCTATTTTATTTTTTAGAAATATAATTATACACTTTAATCATATTTTAAAATTAGTAAATTTATCTTAATCTATAATTATTTTTATTATATCATAGTTATTTTTTATTAATACACTTGTTAATTACTTACTAATTTCATAATATTTAAAACTCTATACTCCAACTAATGTGGACAAATTAGCTGTGACAGAAAGTGTATAATTTAATTTTACTTTCAAATCAACCGAGGATTATATAACAATTATAACCTACTTTTAGTATGTATGAATATTTCTTTAATGGATACCATTGGTTTAGTGTTTTACTCTCTCCGTCCCATGTACAGTGTCTGCTACACTGCAGACACAGTATTTTAAGAGGGGTATAATTAGTAGATAATTAAAAATATATTAGTAAATATAATTATCCTATAATATAAATAATTATAAATTAAGATTAAGATAACTAATTAGTTTAATTAAAATTTTAAAATGAGATTAAAGTGCATAATTATCTTCAAAAAAAGGAAAATTCCATGGAATGTGGAACGGACAGAAATAGCAATGTGGAAACGGTACGTGGGACGGAGGGAGTATTAGTTAATTTATATATATATATATATATACTTTTTCAAAGTAAATTTCCTGAGTTTCATAGTTTACTCACTTATTTTATTGCACATTCTCAAATAAGAACAGTTCCAAAATAATCCATAATTTAAATATTTGTTTTACGAAATATTTTGAAAGAATATTTTTTATGTGGCATAAAAAAAACATGTAAGTAATATAAAATTAATAAATATATCTAACGTATTAATTTGTGGAGGACATGTGTATATTGTTTTTGTCTTTTTGACAAAACAAACAAACATTTTTTAAGATAAAAATCCTCTTTATTATAGTACCCCAAATTATAATAAATGGCAGCATATCTGTAATAATAATAATTATTATTATTGTAATTTTTTTTATTAAAGATTAAAATAAAGTAGAAAAAATAAATCGTAATAAAAGTTCATAGTACAAATTTTTAGGACTAAATTGACAAGTTTCTCATTGTTCTAAATTTAGGTAAGAATCAAAAATACTTATTAAACAGGGGTGGACAAAAAAATCGAACCGAATCTTTGAATCGAACTGAATTTTTGGTTAATCGAGCAAATTCAGTTCGAATACAAATACTGCATATTTGATATTTGCTCGATTCGGTTCGGTTTCGGTTTTTTTTACTTTTTCGGTTCGATTAACCGAACCGAATATATTTATTTATTTATTTATGTTATTATTTTTAAAATTTATATTAAAAATTATATTCAGTTCGGTTTCGGTTCGAATATTTGAAATATTTGTAAATATTTTGATTTAATTAGAATTTAAATTATTTTTTAATATATTATTTTTTAATTTCGGTTTGATTCGAATTATTTGCAAATATTTTCGGTTAACCGAAAATTCGATTAACCGAAATTTTCAGTTAGAATACGATTCGCGATTTTGGGTAATTGTTCGATTTGATTCGAATATCAAATACCTATATATTTACAAATATCCGAACCGTGTCCACCCTGTTTGTAAGCCGAGCCACCTATATTTATTATGATTGAAGAGAGCAAAGTGTGAAGAAGCCAAGTAGGCAGGCTGTCACCCAATTTATTAACGCGTTATGTATTTATTGCAATAAAAATATCATCTTCCATTTTGTTTTTTTTTTTGAATAAACTGTTTTTTTTTTTTAGTGTATTTCTCTTTATTATTTTAGTATTGTAATTGAAGGCCGATTTAAAATAGTCACATAAGTGAAATTTTTTTTCAATTTAGTCCTTAATGTCTATATGATATCTGCGTGGTAGACCGACACGTGTCGATCAAATATTAGCGCCACGTGTTCGACAAGTGGACAATTTTTTTTTTACTTTTTTAATAAAAAATAATAAAATAATAAAAATAAATATATAAAATAAATAAAATTAAAATTAACAAAAATATTAAAAAATAAACTATAAAAATTGAAATAAAAATTAAAAAATAAAAATTATCCACATGTGCATCAGGTCAGCGTCACGTGGCCGCTACGTGGATAATTTATATTTTTTATGTTAAAAATAAAAAATAGAATTAAAAATATACTAATATACTCCTTCTATATCAAAACAATAGTCTCATTTTCATTTTTAGTAACTAATTATCACATTTTTATAAAAATTATTCTCATTTTTTCACAATAATTACATAAAGTAAAAATATTTTAATCTTTTAGAAACACTTTTACACCCACTATCAATATCATACTATTATTTTTTAATCCCCCAGCCAGTCCCAAATGTCTCTATTATTTTGAGACGGAGCGAGTATAAATTATTAAAGGTCACGTGACGCTGACTTGATGAACATATAGATAATTTTTATTTATTTATTTATTTATTTATAATTTTAATTTTACTTTTAATTTTACTTTTAATTTTTATATTTTATTTTTATTTTTATTTTTTATTTGTAATTTTTTATATTTGATAAAATAAAAAAATTAACGTGGCGGACACGCGTCATCCACCTGGCCTTGACCTGACTGACAAGTGTCCATTAGCATGCCACGTAGGTGTCACATACATAGATATTGAAGACTAAATTGCGAAAAAATTTCATCTAAAAAACTATTTTAAGACAACTTTAAGTTACATGATTAAAATGATAAAAGGTCCAGCTACATGACTAAAAGATCAATTTATTTTTTTTTTTATATAAGATATTTTAATGATGATTTTAATGTAAAAATATATAGATAAAACTATACCCACAATTCTATATCTATACTTTAATTTTATAAATTATTACATTTCATATTTTTGTTCTAAAATATACTCATGAGGTTGATGTTCGCTCGGGTAAATTTGATCTAATCATTATATATAATAAAAATAGACAATATATATTATATAGCATGTGCTTGTTATTTTTATTAGATAGGATGACTAGATCAAACAATAACTCATGGAGTGTGTTTGGTTTGTCTTTTAAACACAAATCAACAATATTTAATCCATATAATTTTTTTTGATAAAATATAGGATAAATTAATTTTTTAGTTTTTTTAGCTGGACATCTTTATCATTTTAGTCTCGTAATTAGAGTATGTCGCAAATTAGTCTTGTAAGTAAAAAAATTTGGCACTTTTAGTTTTCCGGCGCCGGAGATGCCTACGTGGCATCCGCGTGGCTTGCCGGAGGACACATGTCCGCCAAGTTAGCGACACGTGAATTTTTTTTTTCTATTTTTTAAAAAATTTAATTTATTTATTTTACCTATTTTGTAAAAATTAAAATTTTTCCAAAAACAAATTTGAAAATTAAAATAAAATAAAAATCCACGTGTCCTCCGGAGAGCCTCGTGGATGCCACGTATGCATCTCTGGCGCTGGGGAACTAGAATTGAAATTTTTTTTCTACTTATAAGAATAGTTTGCGATAGATTCTAGTTACGAAACTAAAATGATAAATGAGCCAAATTATGGACTAGAAAATCAGTTTACCCAAAAATATATATATTTTTATAAAATATTGTATCAAAACATATTTAATTAATTCTCAAATAAAACATTATTTGAAACAAAAACTAGAAACAAACCCTATGATAATACAACTATGCAAAATTAAATAATACTCTATCAGTCCATTGACAAAATATTTATTTATATTTGTACTTAATATTAAATATATCCTTACGGTTAAATAATATTATATACAAATATCATTGCGTTTGTATTATACAAAACTAATAGATGCATTTTTATTATTTCTCTTAATTTTTACGTAAAATATAATATTGATATTGAAAGTTTCATACAAAAAGAAAATAAAAAAATGAACACTTAGTTAAATAATGAAAATAGTACTTAAATTTTTTAATAAAACATGTACTAAGATTAAATTGTATTTAGGTGTATTATTTATATTATATATGTTCATAATGAGATTTAATGCTAAAAGGGAAAATTAGGTTCTATCTAATTTTGTATTAATTCAACAAAATTATTATAATTTAAAAGAACTTAATTAGAGCAGCTGCAACAGAAATGCTTTCAAAAGTATCTCACCACCTCTTTTTTATACTTCTTTTTCTTCCACTTTAATACAAATATTTATATTTTTATCAAAATTACAAAACTAAATACAAATAAAAATATATCAATATTTATATTAGGTAAAATTGCTTATAACTCTCATGTGGTTTTAAAATTCAGCGTAAAATCTCCTTATACTTTAAAAATTGCATGGTACCTCCTTATACTTTAAAAAACGTTGCATGAAATCCCACAATCGTGAAACTTTACTCGTGTGATAAGAAGATAATTTCATATCTATATGTTTTGCATAGCAGGGGGTTTTATGCAATATTTTAAAGTAAAATGAGGATTTATGCTGAGTTTCGAAACTATAAAGTGGTTTCATGCAACATTTTTTAAAGTATAAGGGGACGTCATGCAATTTTTAAAGTAGAGGGAGAATTTACGCTGTGTTTCGAAACTACAAGAGAGTTATGAACAATCTTGCCTTTATATTATTATGTAAAAAATACAATGTTACATAACACAAAAATATAATATTAATAAATATATAAATAAGAAAAATGAGCATCGATCTCTTAGGCATCTTTATGTACCCAAGATGATTTTTAAAACAAAATCTATATATTTTTACTTACCTAGCTAGCACGTATTTGGAAGAGAGAGCTATGTTGTGTTCTATTTGCCAAATATAACTAACATATTTTTTTAAAAAAATTAATATATTATACGTATTTATTATTTTTATTATATCTATATAATTTTCTATAACTCACATAAAAAAAAAAAAAAATTCATTCCATACATTTCACAGAACAAAAACATTGAGATACCCATTGCCGATAGCCTTAGATTTGAAATTACAATATATATATATTTTTTGATCTAATTAACATCAAATAATTTAACACAAATATTTTTTATTTATTAATTTTTAAGCTCATTCTTCATTTTTAGATAGGACTTTTGTAATTTAGAAAATAAAAATGGGAATAATAAGAAATTAGATATTTAATCTGATGTTTTGTGGGAGAAAAAAAATATACTTGATTTAATATTTTTAAAAAGAAAAAAAAATTATTACTGTTACAATAATTCCAAAAATTATAAAAGTATTGATGTATAAAAAACCTTTAATTTTTTTGAAAATATTTTGATTCATATCTATGTATTCAATTTGTGGTGAAGGTCACGTTAAAATTGCAACCAATGTTCAAACGTTCTTTGAGGTACGTTACGAGAAATGATTCCGATTTAGGCGACTTGGCCGGAAGCTTCGGGAGATTACATGAATTTGCAGACTTGATTTGGCATCCGAGTGAGAGGCGCGTTGTGTGTCGCAATGATGACCGTGTCTCCCTCAACACGGCCGGCAATGGACTCTATGATTTTTATGGCTTTCGTTCCACAACCCAACTTGTTGTGTCCGCATTAAGAACTCAAGGTATTTTAATTATTATAAAATTTACATATAATACCGAAAAATTAAAAATATTATTTTTTATCAACAAAATATTTCAATGGACTCTCAATTTTACAGAGGAGACACAAGAATCCCTCGGCGACGCTGATGGAAAATGCATAAACGGGAGGCTTACTTCTTTTGCTTTAACGACTTTGGCTTATGGACTCACCAACAATGGTAGGCTAATTTATACTATCTCCGTCCGGCTCTAAGAGTTTTATTTACTTTTTACGTATTAATATTTGAATATTAATTATTATATGAAATAATACAAATTAAGGGGAAATGACAAAAATAGTTATATTAGTGACTTATAATACTATTATAATACTCCCTCCGTCCCATAACAAAGTATCCATTTTTTCATTTTAGTCCGTCCCATAACAAAGTATTCATTTCCTTTTTTAGTAACTGTACTTTCTACCTAACATTACAAATACCCTTACAACTTACAATATATTACACAAATGTCATTACCTTTATATCACACATACTAATAAGGTTATTTTAGTCATTTATACTTTCTTTCTACTATATCCCAATATAATACTAATATTCCTAAAACTACGTGCAAAAAGCAAATGGATACTTAGTTTCGCGACGGATGGAGTAATATTTTTGCAAAAAATTATACAAATATAAGGATATTTTCAATGTTAACTACAATGACGTAAAAGATAAATGAGACCCTTAGAGCCGGACGGAGGAAGTATTTGTTTGATTTGATATTGTATTTTCAAAATAAGTATATATAAATTTTTGAAGTGTGAGGATTATACTAATGAAATATATATATAAAAAATATAATGCTAAAAAAGGGCAAATATTTTCATTAGTATTTCACTTAGAATTTTAAAAAAATTCTATTGAATTTTACTATTTAATTTTAAAATTTTTCTTCAAAACAATATTGAAAAATTATTTTACCTTGATCGATTGTAGGAGCTATATTCACGGGCTATCCGGTGATCGGCTACCAAAATCGGATGCAAGCATCGGGATCGTGCCTTGACAGCCCCAACGATGGAAGGGCAACGGTGTGCCCATGGGACTACCGTGTCAAGGGTCTCTACTATCACCAAACCACATTTAGCATCGCCTTGTCTGTTGTTAAAAATTTCATCACCGATGTGCAGAAGCTCGTCGCTCTATACCCAAAGTCTTTGTGTGGTCTCGACTTGTACAATGGGATTCTCATGAGGTATTTTTGAATTTTCATAATTTATTCGCCTCGAGTAGCATAAGTCATTTTCATCATATTTTATATCCCTTGATAGGTATGTGACCGCCTCCACGGCCTACTTTGGAAAGCAAGAAGAGGCGCTCGACTTTGACATCACGTACTATAGAAGCAAGGACCCTCAAACGCCGAGGCTTTTTGAGGACATCTTGGAGGAAATTGAGCAGATGGCAATATTCAAGTACCGGGCATTGCCACATTGGGGGAAGAATCGGAATGTGGCATTTATTGGGGCAATCGACAAGTACAAAAATGCGAATAAATTTTTGAAGATTAAGACAATGTATGATCCACAAGGTTTGTTTTCGAGTGATTGGACCGATCAAATTCTTGGACTAAAAGATGGCTTGATCATTGAGAAGGATGGATGCGCCCTCGAAGGGCTATGTATTTGTAAGGAAGATGCGCATTGCGCGCCTCGGAAGGGTTACTTGTGTCGACCGGGTAAAATTTACAAAGAAGCAAGAGTTTGTACCAAAGTTTAAGTGTCTAGAATGTATGCTTTATTTGTAAGAACCTTACTTGGTCATGTACATTGATATCGTAATAGCTCAAAGAATATTAGTAGATAGTATAGACAAACACACATTAGAAAATTTAATTGACAATATGAACCAATTTCTATGAAAAAAAACTATGATATATATTTATAATTAAAGCTTGACATTTGATCAATTTTAAATTTTATTCGTCAACTTACTATTTTCGATTTGTTTGGTTTAGTTTCAAATTAAAATCACTAATATTCAATTGTCTATATAATTTGAAATAAAAAAAAATATCCTCAACATCCAAAAAAATATGTTTGTTTTACTATTTTAAATAAAAAACTTCAATGATTCTTTAATTTTCTAACTACTATTTTTCATCTATACCGGTGGTTTTTTTGGACCATGCATATTTATTACACTCAACCTATTCTAATCCAATATATATATATATATATATATATATTGATAATGTGGGAATCCGTAATGCTTTGGATAAATTTTCGGTCAAACTTAATAACTTGCAAAATTATACTCCCTCCGTCCCAAAAGTATAGTCTTATTGTGTTGGATACGAGATTTAAGGAATATTGATATTATATTGGTAGCTGGTAAAAAGTAACGATAAATGATTTTTTTGCCATTGTGAGTATATTAGTGTAAAAAAGTAGTGACAATTGTGTAATAGTAATAAAAAAGTATAGATAGTTTTTATGTGATATTGTTATTTATGGAAATAAGACTATTGTTTTGGGACGGACAAAAATGGTAAATAAGACTATTGTATTGGGACGGAATGAGTATTATTAATTCTATATAGATTGTAGTTTTATCCTTAAAATTTATTAACCTCCATTTACAAATATTTTAAACTCACTTTTTTTTTTAAGGAGAGATTATATTATTTTATTTCGTAAATATCATATCAAAATAATATTAAACTAAAAATTAATTTATCTATTTTATTTTATTTTATTTTTTAAAAAAAACTCAAATTCAAAAAAAAAAAAAAAAACCAAACCTTTACCTTTTCGAAGTTTATAAATATGTTAAGTAATAAAATGTTAGGAATGTTGGGCCCATTTATGAATTGATCCAAAGGGTCACTTTAATTTGGGCCTATTTTAATTATTTTTATTGTTAGGCATTTAATTTAATTGTTGATGATAATGGGAGTAGTTTAGAAATTAAACAAACTATCTAAAATATAAAAATTTAATTAATTTATGTCTAGAATTTATATACATAACTAGGTGATTCTATAAAAATATTGTCTATAGTATAGCAATATAATATCTTATTTTTGACATATAATGTAAATTATTTATGAAATGAAATTATGATTTTTAATTCCAAATATATTGATATTGTTAATTAAACAATTTTATTTATAATTAACGAAATTATTTAATATAAAAATAAGTCTTCGGAATTTATATAGTATAAATTAATTTGTCCGGAGTTTATACAACATACATTATTTATTGAATGAATTTCAAATTTTTATTTTCTAATACACCAATATAGTTAATTAAAAAAATTTAACCATGATTAATGAATTTTTTTTTTTGTAAGAAATGAATCTTCAAAATTTTATATCTATATAAAAAAGAATTGTATAAGATACTTTATATATATATATATATTTACTACTCTCTCCGTCCCGAAAAATATGTTTCTATTAATGTAAGTACGAGAATTTAGATAAATATAATTAATAAGTAACTAAAAAAAATATAATAGTAAAAATAATTATAACATTAAAAAATTATACAGTTTATTTTTGTTTTATTTTTGTTTTATTTTTCAATAATAAGTTTATTTTGATATTATTCTTATCAATTTAGATTTTATTGATTAAAAATTAAAAAATATTACATTATTAAATAAAATCTATTAAACAAAAAAGATTATTAGTATACTTATCCAAAATATTTTTAAATATCTATGAGAAGGATAATATAGATATTTTATTAAGTAGGATTAATAATATTGGAGCTCGTTTGGATTAATTTTATTAAAATTCATAATTTATAATTTCTCTATTTTTAATTAAATTATTTAGTCATATTAATTTTAATTTATAATTATTTTTATTAAATTATAATTATTTTTACTATATTTTTTAATTATTTACTAATTATATAATATCTAAACTATGTGTCTAAACTAAATAAAATAAATTAGCTGAGACAAATATAATATTATTTTTTAATCTATTTAAAAAAACTCTAATCGACCTTTAAAGTAAGCCGAAGAGAATCTTATCATTTGATTATTTGTAAAAACAAATATATGTATATATATATATATATATTTAATTGGAACTAAGATGAAATTAAAAAAAATAAATTAAATTTTCATTGAAGAAACCAAATCAAAACAAGTTTATACTACATTTAACATTGCTTTAATTCAAGATTTTTATTATATTCAAATTTAATCCAAATTGAAAGGATTCTAAAAATATTGAGTATCATCAAATTTAATAGGCCAAAATTATATCAATTTTATAGTATATTTTATTTATAATAAAATACTTTATTACTTCATAAATTTATTGTCCATATTTTTATTAAGTAACACTCATTTTACTTTCAGTCAATTTTAACATTAAAATAATTTAATACTAAGTGTTTTTTTTTAAAAAAACAAAATATGACAAAAAGAGAACTGTGGTCTGGGTTAGGTTTGGTATGAGATTTAGTGGGTAAAAAGTACGGATAAAAAGCTTTTGTGCCATTGTGAGTGTATTAGTGTAAAAAGTAGTGGTAATTGTGTAATAATAATGAAAACATAAGGATAGTTTTACCGTGAAATGGTTATTTATGGAAATGAGACTATTATTTTGGAACGGACAAAAATGATAAATAAAACTATTATATTGAAACGGAGGGAATAATATTTGATATAAAAATATATATTTTTATACTCCATTATTTCTACTATTCTCTCCATTTCAATATCTAAAAAAATAATTTAAAAATAAAAAACAAACATGGATAGGTTTCTTTACTTGCCTTTCAATGCACATAAAAACCAGTGCTTAAAATTTATCAAATGGCGGATATCTATGTAGTGCTTTTTCTAGCATTCAATCCATCTCCACTCTGCTCCCATTCTTCTCTTATTTCTGATCACAAACAAAATGGGTTGATTTCTCTAGCTCTGCACATGCTCGATCCCTCCTTTCATGGAACCAAATTTCCCCAATTTTGGGCTTTTCTTTTCATTCCATTTTCTCATTAATCGATGCCTCGATTTGTTTTCTCTTGCTTTCCCCTCACTCTTTCTGACAGTGGGTCTCCATCTTCGAAACTGCCTTCCCTTTGTTGCCGCTTCAAGTCACACATTTTTTTAATGTTGTTTGTTTGAGTGATCTGTTCATCGAGGACGAGGGTTTTTAAGTGTTTAGTTTATTTTGAAAGTGGAATTTGTTGCCTTAGTGTAATCAGTTTGATTGCAGAGATTGATCTCGAAATTGCTCTTGATTTTAAGTGATTGATTGTTGGGTAAAATGCTCGATATGCTTAGGGGATTTGGATTGATGCTAGGATTATGCAACTTTTCTTGTTTGTTGCTGATTCAGGGATCTGGAATTGGTAAATTTCTTATTTTACTTAGTCATTACTTGTTTGTGGATGTGATTTAATCACTTTCTTGTTTGTTTGTGAGTGCTAAATTTAAGTTTGGGAATGTTTAGCTTCTTACATTGTTCATACATATCAGTTTTGGAAAAGGTTCACATGGTTCACAGAATTGGAGCTTAAGATAATCCAAAATTGTGTTTTCTTAACATGTTCTTGATGGAATGTTAGGCTAATGTATTTGATTTAAGTTGTCTTACTCTTAAGCTCTGTTAGCAATTGAAACCATGCTCGGCATTGTTCGTTTGCTTATTAAAAATCTGCATTTTTTTGTCGAATAACTCAGTGCAGAAAATGGTATCAGATTGTTCATCAATCGAAGAAGGTTTGATGTTGTGTTTCCTTTTTTAAGTAGCAAGATTGGCGGCGTCGAACTCTAGTAAAATAGGATTTAAGATCTCCACAAGACAGAAAATGGCTTATAATGTTTGTTGCCACAATGATCATATCATTGTTTTGTTTCTTCACAAGATCTTTGAAACGATTTTTCGATTATAAGGACAAGGCGTAAACTCATCCTCCATTGTTTCATTCCAGCAGTTCCTCCTGTATTTTTCGCTCCAGCGCCTACTCCGGCGCATCACTCAAATGGCAATTCTCCGGGGCCTCAGTCGCAGGCCAATTTTAATGGTTCGAGTTTATTTACATCTTTTAGCCGCAGCGAATAATAATGCCCTGTTCTGCCTTAGTCTTGGTTACATACGATAATTGTGATAATCTCGATTCAATTTTCGATCTTACAGGAGTCCCCTTGGCTGCATCCCCGATTCCTTTATCAAACAATCGTTATTATCCTCTTCACGCTGCTCGAGCAGCTCCATCGCGGCAAGCAAGAAGTAAGAACCTCTGTTAAGTCTTTCTCCGCAAGTACTTTTACTTTCGGATTCCGAATTTCATCTAACCAACACTCTATCTCATTCAGCGCCGTTATATCCAAAAATGCCGTTGCAATCTTTACCTCCGCCGCCTCCTCAAGAAGGTCGATAGGCTCATTTGTTTTCTTTGTATAAAAATATCGCTACTAACGTGCATTTTTTTCCTTTGTTCGACAGAATGTTCTCCCTTGGCGTGCGTCGAACCCTTAACATACGGTCCTGTGGAATCGCCGTGTCTCTGTGTGTTGCCGATACAAGTAGGGATCCGTCTTACCATATCACTTTATACCTTTTTTCCTTTAGTTTCGACACTAGCTTCCGAGATTGCTTCTGGAGTGTTCATGAAACAAAGCCAAGTTCGCATAATTGGCGCAAACGCGGCCGGGGATGATCCACAGGAGACCGTCGTCCTTATCTATTTACTACCCCTTGAAGGAAGATTCGACGATGCCACGACATATTCTACGTATAAAAGATTCTGGAGCAAACAAGTCATTATACGGCCTTTGTTTTTTGGTGAGATTAACGTCCTGTATGTGCGATATCCAGGTAATGAATCTGGCATTAATTCTTCGATCGACATTTTGTTTTCTTGTTTAATTCGAATTTGTGTTTAATGTGTTGCGGATTGATAGGTCTCCCTCCATCTCCACCGTCGCCGTCATCGTGTAATGGCATTATACCGAGTAAGCCGTACCTTAGTCATCACAACGACGGGAGAACTGTGAAACCACTCGGAGTCGATGTAAGAAAAAACGGACATCGACATCATTGGCCTAGCGAAAGCGTACTATGGATGATAATTCTATCAATTCTTGTAGTTCTAGTCTTGATGTGTGGTGTTTTTGGCGGCTACATTTATCGAACAAACCTTAATCCGCCTGCTGTTCTTCGTTCCCTCGCAAAGTCTTCAGGTATGAATCATTTAATCTTTTTTTATGTTTCGAATGTTTTTGTTAGAAGAGACATAAATATCGATCTTTCGACGCAGCCTTGTCTACATCTGTGGTCCGAAGTGGGAGCAGTTCTCCTTCGTTCTCGTTAGGTTCAGCCGTTGCAGCGTGTACGATTTCTGCGAAGAAATTCAGCTCAAGCGAGATCGAGCGAGCAACCGAGTTCTTAAACGAATCGAGAATTCTCGGCGAAGGCGGATTCGGATGCGTTTACAGAGGCGTGCTTGACGACGGGGCTGAAGTTGCGATCAAGATTCTCAAACGGTACGACCAGCAGGGCTCCCGGGAATTCTTGGCCGAAGTCGAGATGCTTAGCCGACTTCATCACAGAAATTTGGTAAAACTGATCGGAATTTGTGTCGAGGAGCGCGCTCGTTGCTTGGTATACGAGTTGGTATCGAATGGTAGCGTCGAATCTCATTTACACGGTACAAACATTCGAAGGCTTCGTTAAGTTTCTGACATTTTTCGCGATGTAATAATCTCTATTGCAACGATTATTGTCAGGCGTTGATAAGGAAAGATCTCCGCTGGATTGGTGGGCTCGGCTGAAGATTGCGTTAGGCGCCGCTCGAGCTCTTAGTTATCTACACGAAGACTCGAGCCCCCGCGTTATCCACCGGGACTTCAAATCGAGCAATGTTTTACTTGAAGATGATTTTACGCCAAAAGTGTCCGATTTCGGTTTGGCTCGAGCAGCGTTCGACGAGGTGAACAAGCACATATCGACCCGCGTCATGGGAACCTTCGGGTATTGCGATTTCTTCGCCATTTTTAGCTAAGAAACGAAATTTCTTGCTCGATTAAATTTAAAAATTAGTTACAATTTCGATAATTTTGAGTTTCCGATCGTCGTTTTTCAAGGTACGTAGCGCCCGAGTACGCGATGACGGGGCATCTTCTCGTCAAGAGCGACGTTTACAGCTACGGCGTCGTTCTACTCGAATTACTCACCGGAAGGAAGCCCGTCGACATGTCTCAGCCACCGGGTCGAGAAAATCTAGTCTCTTGGGCGCGTCCGCTTCTGACAAATCAAGACGATTTAGAGCTGATTATCGACCCGTCGTTAGGGCCCGATGTCCCGTTCGACAGCGTCGCGAAAGTCGCCGCTATCGCGTCGATGTGCGTTCAGCCCGAAGTATCGAACCGGCCCTTCATGGGCGAGGTGGTCCAGGCCTTAAAACTCGTGTGCGACGAGCGCGACGAGACGACCGATTCTTCTTCCGGAAGGCGTAGCCCGGAGGATACGTCGATTCTTGTCGATGATGATAGGGAAAGTACGAGCTCGCAACGTAACTTTGCGACTCCATCCTCGGCGACGGATTATGATTCCCGGGTCGATTTTTCGATGTCGTCGGAGCTCTTCCGGGACCGGGAATCGGGCCGGAGGCATTCTAGCAGCTCCGGGCCTTTGAGGACGGGCAAGGGAACCAGGTTTTGGAAGAGAATGTCCAAGGGAAGTGTAAGTGATCATAGGCTGTTCAAATTTTGGCCTGGGTCTCATTAACGTTGTTCATGTAGGGAAATTATGCTGTAAATAGAATGTATATGATTAGTTAATAAAATATTTATTTATTTTGTGAAATATTTTGAAGGTATTTTATTTTTTATTTTTATTTATGAGATGTGTAAAAAATTGTGTAGATAATATAAAAATAATAATTATTTGTTATATATTTATTGTTTTGGTGTGTGACAAAATTTTAGAGTAAAGATGATAGTTTTGAAAATATTGAGAATAATAAAAAAAAATGAGTATATGATGTGATGTGAAAAAATATAAATGTGATGTTTTTTTTTTTAAAAAAAAATTAAATAATTTTGAAATTTAAAAAATATTGTGTAAACGAAATTAAATCCATATGCCATTTTACAAGCAATATAATTTGATCAGGATGAAGATATTCCAAACTGAAGTTTGAATTATTTTAAATATGTTAAGTTGTAAATTTTGATTTTTATAAAGTACCTCTGTTTATTTTATATTTTATTATTATTTTTTTCAAATAGTAAATTAAATGTAACATTTAGGAAAAAAATACACCATTCGTTACCTTACTCACTCAATCTCGGATATTCTTTATATTATTACTGAAAGTATCATTTTTGTTAATTTTACTCAAAAATGTTTGTTTCGTATTATAATAAATATAATTACATAATAATACCAAAATACTATTTTTTAATTTTTACCGTAAATTAAAAATATGTCATTACACAATTATTATACGAAGTATACAAATAATAAAAATATTAAAATTATTTTAATATTTTCACTGATTAATAAAATATTATTATTTTTTAATTTACTATAAAATTACAAATCACCTTTTTATATTGAGACGAAATAAAATATTAGATTTAATATTTATTTATATAAAATATTATATTAATTAATTATTTTAACTAAAAATAATAATTACACATTTTAAAAAAAAAAGAAAAAAGAAAAAACACCTCCTATCCTAATTAAAAGAAGCAAAGTATCTAAAGTGAATGCCCACTAAAAATAAATAAATAAAGATACCAAAGGGTTTGTTACTTTTGGATTTATTATTAAATAGTATTTTTGATATGATTTTTTTTTTTTAAATAATAAAATATTTTTATTTTGAATCATGTAAGTTGAATAATGTAATCTTGAATTTGAAATGCAAAACAAACATACTTTTTGTCTGGTTTGAGTTTCAAACTCATATCTCCGCCTCACAATTCATATATTCTTTTGGTTTCAAAACTATAGTCTGAGTTGTGTTTGATACGAGATTCAATGGATATTGATATTATATTAGTAATAAGTAAAAAGTACATGTAAAAGACTTTTTTTCCCTTATAAGTATATTAGTGTAAAAAATAGTGACAATTGTGTAATAATAATGAATAAGTAAGAATAATTTTATAGCGATATGATTATTTATGGAAATAAGACGGTTGTTTTGAAACGAACAAAAATAATAAATAATTTTAAAATAAAAATGTGTTGCCTCCGTTTTATAATATATTTACTTGTTTTTTATATTTATTATACTTAATCTTAAAAATATTTTTATATTTGTATAATATAACGTACCAACGACATTATATTTGTATAAATAATACTAATAAAAATGTTTTATACTTTTCTCTTAAATATTTCTATATATTAATATAATAATTAAAATTAAAAATTTTACACGCAAAAAATAAATAAATATCTTGTTATTTGAAACCTTAACACGCATGTATGATTAGACTTGTTTAGTCTTTTTTTTTTTTTTTTTTTAATTAATCATGCTAACCTTTTAAAAGCAATGCATGAATTCCCTGCCAATAGGATAACTATTGTGAGTTATTTTATTGGTCTATTTTGTAATATATTAAAGTGTGGTGGATAAAATGTAAAGTGGTTGTATTATAAAATATGTATTAACGAGTTGATGAAAAAAGAAAAAAAAAAGTAGAATAGAGAGAAAAAAGTAGCACCGAATTTATTGCTCCCATGTCTTATAACTAAATATCAATTTATTATTTGCACGTAATTTTAAAAATATTAATATTATATTTAAAAATATTAAGAATAAAATAGAAATAACTAAAATAATCTTATTAGTACGTGTGATATAAAGGTAATGACATTTGTGTAATATATTGTAAGTTGCAAGGGTATTTGTAATGTTAGGTAGATAGGATAGTTACTAAAAAAAAATTGAATACTTTGTTATGGGACATACTAAAATAGAAAAATGAATATTTTGTTATGAGACAGATGAAATATTATTATTTGTTGATATATTGTGAAGTCCGAGATGAATGTACTATACACCTGGTCATTTTGTAGCCTAAGGTGGAATTTGAATAATAAAAATTTTGAATTTGAATAGTTGTATGATGTGATATAAATAGGTGTTGATGTGATGTTTTGAATGTAAAATTGATTTTTAGTATAATATAAAAAATGAAAAATATGTGTTTGATTTTATGTTTTTTAGGGAAAAAAATGAGATGAATAGTAGGATTAAAATCCAATCCCCCAAATAAACACACCCTTAGAGTATGACCTAACACAAAAATATATGTATATATATATACTAGAACCCGGCGTGCGCGATGCCGCGCCGGTATGTACAATAAAAATAATTTCGTATAAAATATATACATACATATGTAAAACAAGTAAACAAGTTCGATATGATTGCAACAAAATCAAAGTAAAACAACCTCAACACATTTAACTTAAAACGTGATGCAAATTTTAGGTCACTTACTGTACTTGGAGAGATCAGGAATGTTAGTGGCTGGAAGTGAGATTGAAAGTAAAGAAAGTTAAGCCTAAACCATAGACGCCCATTTCCATAAAATGATTTCAGCTTAAGAGGGTGTATGAGAAATAGAGCTTTTAGCTTATTAATAGCTTTTAGCTGTTTGATCAGTTAAAAAGCTAATTTAGGTGTTTGGTAATTTAGCTTTTTGAAAGAGCATTTTGGATCCAAAAAGCTCATTTCTTAAAAACTCATTCACTCAGCTTTTTGAAAGAATTTTTCATTTTAATTTTGGTTATTCCTTATTTACCTTTAAAACTTAATTATTTTTTTATACATATAAATATATTTTTATAGCTGTATTTATTAATTATTTTTAATATATTTAATATTAAATTATATTTTTATATTTTTAAATTTAAAATAATTACTATTATTAATTATTACACAAAAATTATTTTATTTGTCAAATATATAAATTTTTAAAACTAAATTAAATTAAAAAAATAAAGGTTATTAATTTATTTATATATATTAAAACAATAATTTAATATAATAAAAATATATATATGAAATATTTATTATTTTATATTTTACATAATTTCAATAAAAAATTATTATTTTTTAGAAAAATAATTTTCTCAAATCTAAATAATAAAAATAAAAATAAATATTTTATATATTTTTATAATTTTCAATAATTAATAACAAAAATTCTCATAAATTTCAAACCAAAATGAACAAACTTAAATATTTTAAAAAATAACATATCAATGTCCTTAATAGTCATTTTATATATAAACAGCTAATGTCAAACAATTATTTTATCAAACACTTTAATACAAACCGCTAATTGAATCAGCTAGTCAAACCAGCTAATTGAATCAACTAACTGCTAACAGCTAATTGAATAAGCAGCTAAAAACTATTTGTTAATTGCCAAACGCACCCTAAGTAAAATAGGAAGACAGACATCTTCTATTCCAAAAAATTTAAAACATGCGGATGACAACGAAATGATCTTTTAGTAAATTCCACAAAAAGAAGATATGTTATATGATTATTACCAATCTGGTGCGTTTGTTTGGGGGATTGGATTTTAAATCCACTGTTCATCCTATTTCCAAAAAAAAAATATCAAATTAAACACCTATTTTTTATTTTTTATAGTATACTAAAAATCAATTTTACATTTAAAACATCAAATTAACACCTATTTATATCACGTCATACAACTATTAAAATTTGTTGGAACAATATTTTTCTCCAACTTATTTTTGGCATATGGTTCTTCTTGCTTTTCCCCTGCTGCCTTTTTCTGTTTCCATTCAGGTCATTTCAACAGACTGCCTGCAACTCTGCTGGTCTACTCTTCTCGATTTGGGAACCTTAGAAGAGACAAAAAGAATGAATTTTTGGGTGGTCAACCTTTGACAGAGTTCATGCAGGATTACATCATTCCACTTTCGTGCAAAGGGTTTTAATTGAGTTTGTCCTGTATGCTTTGTTTGGCTGCTTCTTGTTTTGTTTTGTGGGAAGTATTGTGGTTGTTGCATAGGTTAGAGAGAGTGAACTGTTGTGAGAGAAAGTAAGTTAAATCCTCTCAACCCCAACCCTTCCCTTCTCCATGCATTGAAAGAGTGCTAGACACATTTACTTGCCGGAGACATCGTCGGAGGAAGAAGAGATTGGAAATCCGATCAGGAGATTCGTCCAAAGTCTGAGCAACCCTGCTATCTGCTAGTTGTCAGTACGAGTTCGTGACAACTTATACCTGTGGAGGGATTTTCCTAGGTGGTTTGCGTCATAGTATGGGATAAAGGAGTTTTGGGCTGTTTGGTTCATAATCAACCTTGATTAGTGAACTTCTCCTGGATTGGAATCCCCCGGATGTAGGTTGGTTATAACCGAACCGGGTTACCAAATATCTTGTCTTTTATTGCTTTGAATTTTGCCCTTATTTCGTTGACAAGATAATGTTACAACTGTGATTTTACCACGCTTCGGGAGTTGGCCCATTTGGAAAAGTGTACAAGAATTTATCGAGTAGCACTTATTCCATCCCAACATTTGGTATCAGAGCGGTGTTCTCTAAGTTGCTGAGTAGATTCTTTCACAGTTGAAAAGATGAGTAAGGAAGGTCGATCTACATCGAGACCTCCATTGTTTGATGGAACAAGTTATCGAAGTTGGAAAAACAAGATGGAAGCTTTTCTGATGCAACAAGGTGAAGATGTTTCTGAAGCTGTTGAGTCTGCATGGTCTCATCCCATGAAGACCATCCAAGATGAAGATAACAACATCTCTCTTGTGAAGAAACCGAAAAGAGAATGGACTCTCAATGAAAAGTCGGCTGCAATCGCCAACTCGAAAGCCCTTTTCTCGATTTTTAATGCTG